TGTACCTACCCTACCATCTAATTCCAATTCTAGTATGCCATTAACACAAGGAAACTTGAATCCAGGAAAGATGTAGAAAAAATGATAAGGAGACACAAGTTTATTAAAAAAAGTCAAAATCAAAGAACATGAAGACTCGAGGCATTCCATCAGTGCAATGATTTGTCCCAAGGCTAGATAACATTATTAGTGAACCTTAAAATACAATACTAAGTTTAGTTCCATCAGATCTTTTGTTTGGGTAAAGAAATAAACGGCCGCTCTTTTGATGATCAAACACGGACAACAAAACAAATTAGAGAATTATTTTATTTGACATTATATACTTAGTGTAATGTTGCGACTCCTAGACATATAGATGGATTCCCCAATTTCATATTCTTTCTTTTAGATTTAAATTGATAATAAACTTCCTGTGTATTACCCATTGATTAATAAAATACTTGATTACTTTTCAAAAAAAAAAAATCCTTTGTTTGGGTAGGGGCAATATATTGGTAAAAATTAGATACATATTAACATTTACACTTCATTGAGTCATTAATGTTGACAACTTTAAGAAGGAAACAATTTTAATGATGAAACATGTCAACCATAAGTAATCAAGAGGACCTAATCGACATCTATAATGACAAAGAGACAAAAAATAAAAATAAAATTGCTTTAGGCTAATGATCCATGATGATAAGCGAAAAAAATTCAACATATCATCCTCTTGTATTCAAAATTTATATTCAATTTCACCATTCTTTGTTAACTGTACTTTTTAAAACACTTCATATAACTTGACCTACTTATGAAAAGACTTTTCCCTCTTTATGTGTCTAATAGAATGAACAAAGAAATAGCAGCCACTATCCAGTGGGTTCCTTAACCCCCTTCTCCTTGAGAATCAAGCTGATAGGCCTCCTATTCGGGTGACATTTTCTAGAAGAAACAGGAAGCAACCAGAAGGAAGAGAGTAGGCTAACAGCATTCTGTTACGCAACAAATAGGAGGGAAAAGTAGTTAGGGAGAGGCTATAAATAAGAAGGAAAAGGAGCCAGTTAAGGCAGGCAAAAATTGAGTAGAGAGAAGAGTCTTGTATTCGTTCCATTCTTGTAATCTTTTACAAATTCAGATTAAGAAATCAGTTCTTTATATTCAGTCTTCCTTTAGATTCCTATCAAATTGGTATCAGAGCCCGACATCCTGATGGCTCAAAAAAAGAATGACAGCAAGGTGGAGGCTATGGAAAGAGACATGAAGGAAGTGAAAGGGAGGTTACCTGGGCTAGAAAGATCAGTGGACCAGCTCACCCAGCATATGGCGAAAATGATGCAAACGATGGAGGAGACCCAAAAAGCTGTAACCACGCTGATTTACCAGAAGATGGACCCAAATAGAAAATCGGAAGAAGGGAGATCGGGTTGTATCACGAAGGAGTCAGTACCCACAAACCAGTTTCAGGGTCATTATCAAACATCAGACAAAGGGAAGGCACTGGAGGGATCGGGAGAAGCCAGCGAGGACAGAATAACCGTGGGCATGAATCAGTTTTGGGAGGAAAATAATTGTAGGAGGGTAAGAAAATTGGAAATGCCTATATTTAGCAGTGAAAATCTGGATAGATGGTTATTTCGCGCTGAGCGATACTTCGAAGTGAATGGGTTGACAGAGAAGGAGAAGCTAGCGGCAATCGGGGTGAGTATGGAAGGGGATGCGTTACCTTGGCTCCAATGGATGGAAGCAAGAACTCCGTTCTCGAGCTGGGGACACTTCCGACAACAGCTTTTGATGCAATTCCGCTCCGCCCAGGAAGGAAGTCTGTGCAAGAAGTTTCTCGCCGTTAAGCAAGAGGGGTCAGTGACCGATTTCAAGAGGGAGTTCAAAGCGCTGGCTGCACCGGTGCAAGGAATGCCGGAGGAAGTGTTGGAGAGCACATTCCTCAACGGGCTTAAACCAGCGATACGGGCTGAGGTCCGTTTATTACGCCCAAATGGGGCTGACTCAAATAATGGAGACAGCCCAGAGAGAGGAGGACAGAAATTTAATTACTCAGGCCACAAAGGAAAACCCAGCCCAAAGAGGAACGAAAGTGGGATTTAACCCAACCCGTCTAGAATCTAGAAGAGACGAAGCATTTCCTACTCGTGCAGTGACGATAGGAGAACAACCAACACCCAAAAGAGAAGTCCTGACCTGGCGAATGTCAGATGCAGAGTGGAAGTTGCGAAGGGAAAAGGGGCTCTGTTTCCGATGTGACGAAAGGTACACCGTCGGACACCAGTGTAAAAACCGAGAAATGCGAGTTTTGTTGGTACAAGAAGAGGAGGACAGCGAAGTCGAGAGGGGTGATCTGCCTGTAATGGAGCAAGTAGAAGCCGTGGTTGAGAAAATCAAGTTGTCCTTGAACTCGGTAGTTGGATTGGTAACACCAGGGACCATGAAATTGAAGGGGAGGGTTGGGGAGCTCACGGTCACGGTTCTTATTGATTGTGGGGCTACCCACAATTTCATTGCATTAGGGTTGGTGTAGAAATTGGGGCTTCCTATTACGATGACAACAAGCTATGGGGTCATCCTGGGTTCTGCAAAGTCCATTCGAGGAAAAAGGATCTGTGAAAGGGTAGCATTATAGATGCAAGGGCTAACGGTGGTGGAGGATTTCTTGCCAATTGTACTTGGTGGGACTAAAATAATACTTGGGATGCAATGGTTGAGCAGCCTTGGAAGTATGGAGGTGAACTAGAAGCTACTAGTCATGAAGTTTAAATTAGGGGACACAATAATAACATTAAGAGGGGATCCACAACACCGGAATTTCTCTCAAAGTGATGCTAAAAACCGTGCAACAGGAGGAAATTGGGTTATGGCTGGGACAATTGACTATAGCTGATGAGGAAAACAGGGGAGCAACCATACTGCCCCAGCTCGTTACAAGACTTCTAGAGCAGTATGAACACATTTTCAGGGAGACAAAAGACCTTCCGCCGGAACGTGCTACTGACCATACTATAGTGTTGAAAGAGGGGCAAAGCCAGTAAGCATGAGGCCTTTCCAATACCCCCAAATTCAAAAGAATGAGATAGAACGATTAGTTCAAGAGATGCTGTTAGCCGGACTCATTCAGCCCAGTGTCAGCCCGTTCTCTAGCCCGGTTTTGCTTGTCAGGAAAAAGGATGGAAGTTGGCTTTTCTGTTTAGATTATCGGGCCCCAAACAAAGCTACAGTTCCAGACAAATTCTCCATTCCTGTGATTGATGAGCTATTGGACGAACTCCATGGGGCCGCTATATTCTCCAAACTGGACTTGAAGGCGGGCTATCATCAGATCAGAATTAGGCAGGAAGACGTACACAAAATGGCTTTTCGGACTCATGAAGGGCATTACGAGTTCTTAGTAATGCCGTTTGGCCTCACAAATGCCCCCGTGACATTCCAATCCTTAATGAATCAAGTATTCAAAAAGTTCTTACGAAAGTTTGTATTGGTATTTTTTGACGATATACTGGTGTACAACAAAGACCTGGCAGCCCATGAGCAGCACTTGGAAATAGTGTTTCAGACATTATCAGAAAACCAATTGTATGCCAACGCCAAGAAGTTTTTATTCAGTCAGTCGCGAGTTGAGTATTTGGGCCATTTGGTGTCAGCGGAAGGAGTGGCGGAGGGTAAAATTGAGGCTATGGTGTAGTGGCCTTCACCTCGGAACCTCAGAGAGCTACGCGGGTTCTTCGGGCTAACAGGCTACTACTGCCACTTCGTCGCAGGATATGGGAAGATATCTTGGCCACTCACGCAATTGCTTAAAAAAGATGCCTTTGTTTGGTCGCCGAAGACCTAGGCGGCTTTCCAACAGCTGAAGACAGCCATGACAACAGTCGCAGTCCTTGCACTGCCTAATTTCTCGAAAGTCTTCGTGTTGGAAACTGATGCTTCGAGGTATGGTTTGGGGACAGTACTAACACAGGACCAACGACCGATTGCTTACTACAGCCAAGCATTGTCAAGTAGAGCTCAACAGAAGTCGGTTTATGAAAGGGAATTGATGGCTATAGTGCTCGCAATACAAAAGTGGAGACATTACTTACTAGGACACCGGTTTATAGTACGGACGGATCAACGCAGCCTGAAGTACTTGTTAGAACAGAGGATGGTGCTTGGGGAATTCCAGCGGTGGTTGACTAAGTTGATGGGGTATGAATTCGAAATCTAATACCAGCCTGGGCTTGAAAACAAGGCTGCCGATGCATTGTACCTCATCTCGTCCACGGTTGAGTTAGCTGCAATCACTTTCCCTATGGTGATGGATGTGCAACTGATAGCCTAACAAGTGGACAAGGACCTACAGCTGTCCCAGATTAAAAAGGACATGCAATCTGCTCCGGATTCTCATCCAAGATACTCGCTCAATCAAGTTAGGTTACTGTACGAGGGACGTCTGGTCCTTCCTCGTTCTTCTACTTTAATTCCTACCTTGCTACTGGAGTTTCATAGCAGCTCAGTAGGAGGCATTCCGATTTTTTGCGGACACACGAGGATAACAGGGGATTTGTATTGGACTGGGATGAAAAGGGACATACGGAAATTCGTGGAGTGTCTCGTGTGTCAATTAAACAAGAATATGGCCCTATCACCTGTAGGCCTCCTGTAACCCCTACCCATCCCTCACTTGGTTTGGGAAGATATATCCATGGACTTCATCGAGGGGCTACGAAAGTCTAAAGGTTTTGATTCTTTACTGGTAGTGGTGGATCGTCTCAGTAAGTATGCGCATTTTGTGGCCCTTAAGCATCCTTTCACAGCATCGAGGGTGGCTGTCATTTTTGTAAAGGAGGTAGTGAGACTCCATGGGATCCCCCGCTCCATTGTCTTAGATCATGATAAAGTCTTCTTAAGCCATTTTTGGACTAAGTTGTTCCGACTACAAGGAACCTTCTTACGAAGAAGCACGGCCTACCATCCGCAAACGGATGGGCAGACGGAGGTAGTTAACAGGTGTGTGGAAGTTTACTTACGATGTTTTGCTTATGACAAACCCCAAAGCTGGCACAAGTGGCTGCCATGGGCAGAATATGGGTACAACACCACTTTCCAAGCTTCTACCAACACTACTCCTTTCCGTGCCGTCTACGGGAGAGAACCTCCCCCATTAGTGCGATATGGCACCCAAAATACAGGTATAGCCTCAGTTGAGCAGCAACTTTCGGAGAGGGACAACATACTTGATAAATTGAAGGCCCACCTTCTCCAGGCTCAAGCAAGGATGAAGAAAACTGCGGATCAACATCGAAGAGACATCCAGTTTGAAGAAGGCCACCTAGTGTATATAAAGCTTTGGCTTTACCACCTTCGATCATTAGCCAAGAAGTCCAACGGAAAGCTGGGGCCTCGGTACTTCGGCCCTTATAAAGTCATCAAGCAAGTAGGACCAGTTGCTTATCATCTCGAGCTACCACCATCAGCTACAATTCACCCTGTCTTTCATGTTTCGCAACTCAAGAAAGCACTTGATCCAACAGTAGCTAGTCAACAACTTCCTCCACAGTTGGATGCCTCTCTGGAATGGGTAGTGGAACCTGATCAAGTACTAGATGTCCGACAGACCAGGAAAGGATAAGAAAGAAAGAAGGAAGTTCTGGTTAAATGGAAGGACTTACCAACCTCAGAAGCTTCATGGGAATCAGTCAAAACTATCAGTCAATATTTTCCTGACTTCCACCTTGAGGACAAGGTAGTACTTTCAACCGAGGGTAATGATAGGCCTCCTATTCGGGTGACATATTCTAGAAGAAACAGGAAGCAACTAGAAGGAAGAGAGTATGCTAACAGCATCTGTTACGCAACAAATAGGAGTGAGAAGTAGTTAGGGAGAGGCTATAAATAAGAAGGAAAAGGAGCCGGTTAAGGCAGGCAAAAATTGAGTAGAGAGAAGAGTCTCGTATTCGTTCCATTCTTGTAATCTTCTACAAATTCAGATTAAGAAATCATTCAGTCTTCCTTTAGATTCCTATCACAAGCCTACCTCCAACTTGTAGGTAAATTGAGGCTTAAAAAAGTACTAAATAAATAATAAACCCTTAACCTAAAAACTACAACTTAGAAAGTTTTTGCAATTAAAAACTTAGATATATCAAGCAAAATACAGGTTAGAGAAATCGTCCAGCTAAATAAAAAATGTTAAAACACAATATTAGAGCAAGAAGAACTTTTGATTAAGGAACAAAATCCAATTTCATTTTCTAAGATAGTCTTGAGGAAACAACCATAAAGAGGAGTATCAACTAAATAATTTTTTCAAACACACAACATAAATGAAATTTCCAAAAATCTTTTAGGAAGGTTGCCAACCCCCTATTATATTTCAACCCAAGAATCTAGGTTTATCGACCAAGATTTGACAAAGCCCTATTCAATTGTACTCAAAAAATTTAAGAAGAGTTTCAAATGAAATTGATAGCCATGCATCATGCAATTCAATGATAGATAAAGAAACTAGCATCTAGCAAGCTATCCTCTTCTCTATTTCACAATCAATAATGATGCTCAAACTCGGGTATAGGTATCGAATATGGATACATATCTAAGTGTATGATCTTTTATTTTCTAAAATGTAGGATACGGAAACATGACTAAAAAGAATCTAAATTTTGGACACAGGTATATGGGCACGTCTTTTAAACTTCAAGTTTTTTACTTACTCAAGATGTTATTTTGAATAGACCAAAATCAATTGTTCACAAAGAAGGAAATAGTATTAAATAAGGGGTTAAGACGAATAAACTAAAATTTTAGGGTCTAGCTTTCAATTATGAGAAGTTAATTACTAAATGTTATATAAAATAGAAAATGAGGGACTTGATTACAATCTGGATTTAGTGGAGCATTAAGTAGTATTATATGAAACTCATTTTCATTTTATACAAACAAAACTCTAAACCATCGACGTAGAGAGGGAAAGAAGGAAAAAAAAAGAAACAAAATGGGAAAGGAAAAAGAAAGAAGGGGGAAAATCTAGTGCCGTCGCCTTTCTCTACCCTCTCGGAGGTGGCACTAAGTTTATAGAGAGTAGAAACAGAAAGAAAAGGAAAAGAAAAAAAAAAAAAAAAAAAAAAAAAAAAAAAAAATGGCGAAGTGTTCGATTGAAAGTTGGAGGATCATACACATATTCCATACCCATACTCATGTTGTGTTGTGTCCGACACGGGTACTCCAACCATTTCAAAGAGTTTGAGCATCAGAGAAATCAACTAATGGTGCATCTTTAATTATTAACCTATTTTTATTCCCCTACAGCTACATTTCAAAATCAAACGGTATTATGCAATACAATTTCGCATAACAAGTAGCAGCATTTTATATAAAATATTTCTAAATAAGAAGAGCATGTTTGGCTAAAAGTAAGTCAATTGTACTCTTAAATAAATTTTTCCCCAAATAATTTTACATATGTTAGTTTTTTCTTAATTGTAAATAAAAAAAGTTACTATTTTGACGTTATTTCCAAGTTTGGCTAGCATTAACAATCATTTATAAGAATACTCATTTACGAGTTAATTGTTCCAATGGTCACTGAACTTAGGTCTGCGTTTTTTATTGGTCACTGAAATTTAAAATGTTGAGTTTTGGTCACTAAACTTAGATCCATTCTTGGATTGCTCACTAAAGTTTAAAATGTCGAGTTTTGGTCATTGAACTTTAAAAATGTTGTACATTACTCACTGAACTTTGAAAAACATTGTACATTACTCACTAAACTTTGAAAAATGTTGTAAATTACTCACAATAAACTCGATATTTTTCAAAATTCAACAGTTATGATAGTAAGTATCGTATGGCATATTTCAAAATTCGGTGGTCAAAACTCGACATTTTAAACTTCATTGAACAATCTAAAACATGAACCTAAGTTCAGTGACCAAAACTCGACATTTTGAACTTCAGTGTCTGATACTCGAACTCTTCGAAATAGTAGGAGTACCCGTGTCGGATACGACATGAGTATGGGTATGGGATATGTGTCGGATCCTCCAAATTTCAACCGGACACTTCATCTTTTGCTTCTTCTTCTTTCTTTCTTTTTTTCTCTTTTCCTTTACTTTCCCTTTTCCTCTTTCCCATTTTCGCTATCTATAAACCTGTCGCCTCCTCCGAGAGGGTGGAGAAGGACGACGATGTTTTTTCCCTTCTTTTTCTTCTTCTTTCTTTTTCCTCTCCATTATCTTCTTTTTTTCCTTTCTCTCTCTGTAACAATGATTTAGGGTTTCATTTGTATAAAATGAAAATGAGTTCCATATAGTGCTACTTAGTGTTCTATTAAGTCTAAATTGCAATCAAATCCCTCATTTTATTTTTATATAACATTTAGTAATTCCCATGATTGAAAATTAAACCCAAAATTTTATTTTATTTGCCTTAACCCCTTATTCAATACTCATTTCCTTCTTTGTTAATAATTTATTTTGGTCTATTCAAAATGATATTTTAGATTAGTAAAAAAATTGAAGTTTGAAAGGCGTACCCACGTACCCATGTTCGAAATTTGGACTCTTTTTAACCATGTCCCCTATCTACATTTTAGAAAATAAAAGATCCGATACTTAGATATGTACACGTACCCGTACTCGAGTCGGAGCATCATAGACTTCAATGGACCAATCAAAGACATTGAACATTGGAACAATTAACTCCTCATTTACTTATAAGTAAATTTATTAAGAATTAGCCAAATATTCACTTTAGGTTAACACCACACATTGTAAAATAAATAAGCAAAATATCAGCAATATGACAACAGAAAGGGCAGATTAGAAGAGAAAAACACTAACATGGAAAATGTTACCTAGAAATGAAAATGTTTTCCTTCTTTTGTTGAAAATAAAAACCGCCTCCACCCAAGAAAAATGTTTTCTTTAAAAATAAGTAAAATTAGGCATATTTTCAAAAGTTGAAATTCCATGAAAAAAATAGCAATCAAACTCCTCAAGTAGGAATTTGAGTGAAAAATTGATGTTTTCCATGAAAAATAAATGTAATCAAACACACCATAAGCTTTTTACCTTCTGCTGGACAGAGATTTTATCATCGAAAATTTGTGCTGCCTCTTCGGCAAGTATGTTATTGTTATGTCTTTGCCACTCAGTCTTGGACCTTTTCAACTTAACTTCACTTGACGGCCGTTCTAATCTTTCAGAGTTCAAAATTTCCGGAGGCATTGTATTCACTCTAGAAATACTGGCATCGGCACTCCCTACCAAAAATCATAAAATCACGCGATTATGAAACTTCATTCAAATTAACCGCAAAAAAATAATAAATTGGCATCGTCATTATGCGATGTTTACTTTTATTTCAACTTCATTTCCTAGTAATTTTTTATTTCCTTCATCTGTAAAAAGATTTGGGAGAAACTCACCGGAAGAGTCGCTCCTACTATTGGAAGGTGGAGGAGCAGCAGCACCATTTCCGCTGCTACCAATCGTAGCAGAATTATCTTCCGATGACGAAGCAACTTTGTCAGCCTTCGGTGGTGTTGGTGGTGCCGCTGCCGCCATCAGTAATTCCGCCGGCTCCGGCAAGCTGAGCCGTTGATTCAGATCTAATCACACTTCAAAAATCTGCTATTGGTAATGTTTTAGAGAATAAGAATGTACGTAGAGAGAGAGGTGGAAGCACGTTCGAGAAAACGAGAGAAAGGGAGTGAAATTTTTGCTGGAAAGAGAATTTTGGGCAATAGATAACCGCAAAGGGACACGCACAGAGAAGTTCCGCTTACCTTCGCGGATTGTTTTGGTGAATGACTATGTAAAATAATTTTACTGTAAATAGGTAAATTTTGAAATAATATTTCTTATTGATTAAAAATGAAATAAATATTAATAAGAGTTAATTTGACAAAAAAAAAATTAAAAGCTATTTTACTTTTATGTTTTAAAAGTAATAAAAATACAAAATCAATAATTGATTTTTAACCTTACATTTCATGAAATTCACAATTTTTATTAATTTTTTAACTAGGTATTTCATCCATTTTTTATTAAAATATAATAGAAATCTATTTTTTAGTAAAATCAAACAAGGGTTAAATGTAGTGAGGTTTTTGTTGTTAAAATTTAAATAATGATAGTTAAGATGAGAACAATAACATTTTGAGAAAAAAGTTACTTTCAAATAACTTTTATATTTTTCAAGCATTAGCTAAATATTTTGACTAAAGAAAATGCCTCCTGCACAAGGTCTGTACGGACCCTGACATCTCACATGGAGGTGGACACCACGTGTGGACCCCATGTGTGGGATCCACCCCATGTGTGTGTATCTATACAGGGTCTATGCAATAGACCCCGTGCAGGTTGTACAATTGTTTGATTAAACCATATAAAGTACGTTCACAAGTTCTAAAACCATCAATTATTATTGGTAAATGGGGAGATCCGTTTGCATTATCTTTGTACGCTAACTTAAACTAATGAATTGAATCGAATCAATTTTTGGTGATTAAAAAAAATAATAAGAGCTAACAATACGTTCAAATAAAAATAATTTATTATGTTTTATCAAATATAAATCTATATAATTAAATTTTATTTTTTTATTTTTTGGGTCATTGCCCCTCTACAAATGTCAAGGAGGATCTAAAGGCACCCCTAACAAGTTGTGAAAGGAAAATTTGGCAGAGAAAACAAATAAGGAAAATGAAAGAATTATGCTACTTGTTTATTAAAATGATATACAATAGATCACATAAAATGATGTGGAGGAAGAAGATTATATGAAAAAGTTGATCTTATTTTAAACTGACAAATGATAGAATGATATGTGATATTATGTAACTAATTATATATAGTTAGATGTATATGTAGCAAGCTCCAAAAGGAAATTAGGTTCTTGATCTTGGGGGAAAAATTACAAAGTCACACTTTCTATAAACAGGATAAACATGCTCTTTCTAAATAGTAAGAGGACCAAATTGCTCCCACTAAATAGTTGGAGGACCAAATTATAAATTATCCACTCTTGGAGGGTAAAGTTACGCTTGCTTCATAGTCCGAGGATTCTTCATGGCATTAGATTGGAGTCAACATATTTGATAAGTTGATATTAGATTGGAGTAAACACAATATGATGCGACAATTTTGTCATCATATCTTTCTTTCGTGGTCTGGTCGATTCTTACATGCCAAATATGTCTTTTACGTACATTAATCGTAATGATCACTAATCGAGGCTCATTCTGATATTAATGCCTAATCAAATTTTTAAGATTTTCATAATGTAGACCACATGATCAGCTTATGTAATAAACCCATTTGTCCTTAGAATCACAAGCCAACCAGTCCCCACTCACTGCCCAGTTGTTTCCCCATCTGCTTAGATTCACTTCTCATTGTCTCCATCTGCACAAACCCCTAAATTGAATACTGAAATACCCAAACAAAAAGAATATTGGAAAATACAGACAGCACGGATAGATTTCATGTGTGCTGTCCATTTGATTAATATAATTTTCACACATTTTCACCATTTTTTTTTTCCTATCAAATAATTCAAGGTTGATGAATTTCAAGTTCCTTTGTATATAAGAGATCCTTGAAAGCTCTTCAAAATAACACATAACCTCCAAGAGAGGCTTATTGATTTAGTTTTCGAGCTCGACATTGTTGAATCTATATAGTTTTCGTGTACTATATTAGTTTCATGTTCCATTTTCTGAATAAGCAAATTGAGTCAAAAGATATACTAATAACCGGTGATTTATAGGTTTTGCTGGCCGAAGATATTTGAAGAGTAGTTGTATACTTAAAGAGGCTCGAAAGCCTGAGGAAAAGGCCACGTTTGGCCCTTCTTTCAATGAAGATGAAACAAGACAAGTCAGATTCAAACTACTCCTGCAGGAAATAAGGTTTTGCCAATTATTGAATTGGTGCAAGCTTTATCACAACAATGTAGAAAAGACGGATAGAACCAAAGGCGATAAAAGCAGAGCCATATCCAGGATGAAAGAGCTAATGAGATGGGCTACTGTTGTTGACAAGTCTGAGAAGGGAGGAAAGTACATTGGTAGAAAGGTGAGTTCCATGTACTCTAATACTCTAAGCTATTGATCTCACCGCTTCGTCTCCAGTGGAGAACTAAAAATATAACGTTCGAGAAATTATTAATGTTTCTATGTTAAAATAGTGTGATTTTAGGTCTTGCAGTTTCGAAATAGATCCACTTTAAAGGTAGCGCTGGACGACAATGAATTTAGTAACGACTCTCCAAAAATCAGTTTCGAATGGGATTTAGAGAGTTATTCCACCATTTCAACGGCTTCATCTTTAAAACATGAACTGAACACGAATGCAGGATATTAGTGTATTGGTACAAGTGGAAACTGGATCACCACAAATTCTGAATGTAAGATCCAGACCCTTTCATCATATTTATTTATGCTTACACTCATATTATACTATTTATGTCGAGGGCTAATGGACTTTTTTTTTTGGACAGTTGTCGTGCTAGAACTATGAAGATTGGATTCGACTGAAGTTTCTAATGGTAGATTGATCCTCAAGAGTGGTGTATAAGGCAGTGGTTGAATCAAATGTAATAGAGTTATGTCTAAATAAAATTTTGACTTTATCAAGAACTCAATGTAAATTTCCAATTTATTATGAAAATGATCCAAAAATGATAATTCTTCTGTACAGTTCAATTCGATCTCAAACGTGAATAGAATATGTGCATAAAATTCATGAATCACTATAAGAATGTATATTCTTAATTAACAATCCAATAGTTGATTCGGATTAAAATCTAGATTTTAAGCAGAATCTTCAAATTCTTCAATAATGCACTCCATTTAAAGAGCAATATTGTTTAGCATCGTTGATGTTACAATACTAGTTTAGATGGCATTGAGTGTCATTAAATGAAATGTGTAGTTTTTTGTCGAGGTGCGGCGAGGTCCTTTATCTCATCTATTTTCCTGTATTGATTGTTGTGGTGGTGGTGATTGTTGATAGTGCTAACGGCGAATTTAGAGATTTTTTTGGTGGGGGGGTTGTGTTTGCGGTGTGGTAGATATGATGGCTATTCGTGGTATGGTGGCGGAGGTAGCAGTGTAAGGGGGCGGAATCGGTGGCAGTCAAAGGTGGGTGGTGGCAACGGTTGTCCAGGATTGTTCTTAGCAATCGTGGAAGGTTAATATTTGCTAGAAGAGGAAATTACGTCCATACAAGTGTTTAAAGATTGAAGTTCAAATATAAAGTTTAAAGTTAACTTATTCAAAAATTAGGTTTTTAATATATATAACCCAACCCACCCAATTAAAACCCTAGATTATTTTCTCCCAATTATTTCCCTCCTCTCTCTATCTCTCTGTCTCTCAATCTTCTCTCCTCTACAAGGCTGTCGTCCCTGGATCACAACGGAGCTCATCATAGTGAGTGGCGTTCTCACTCCTCTCTCTCTCTTCTTTCCTCCACATGGCAGCAGTCACCAGATCACGGCGGAGATAATCGCTATGAGTGGCGAGCAACGCTCTCCCTCGTCTTCCCCTTTATCTTTCTCTGTGTTTCTCTATCCTCTCCCCTGTACATGGCCGTCATCACCGAGCAATGTTCACTGAGATCGTCTTCGAGCGGCGCTTTGTTGTGATCGCCGTTTTACAATGCTGCTCACAGTGTTGAAAAAGTTGCACGATGATCCCGAACAACACAGCGTCGCTGTAGCGCAGATCAGTGTGGTGTTCGTTTTTTGTTATTGTTTTGATGTTAGTTGTGGGTGGTTTTACTTATTTTCCATGTGGTGGTTGTAGTGGTGGTGTTGCGAACATTGTAGCAACTTCTTATGCAGCATCGCTATCGAGATTGTGGAAGGGAAAGTCTTGGTTGCTGAGGGCATGATGATATGGTGATGGTGGCGATTGTGGTAGTGGTAGGGGCGACGATGGTGGTGTGGGTTCAAATCTGAGGGGTGGTGGTCGTGATAGTGGTGAGGTGGTGATGTTGGTGGCAGTGGTGTTATGTTATTGTTATTGTTGGTGGTGGTTGTGATGGTGGCGGTGGAGGTGGTGGCGTAGCGACAGAATGGGACGAAGAATGTCTGTGACCAACTATTTGGTCGATTTGTGACCAAGTATTGGTGGTGTATCGGGATTGAGATTGAGTGTACGTGACTAATTATTTAGTAATTTGTGGCTAACTGTTAAAATGCGAGCTTAAATTTCGATAATTTCTGTAACCAATAAATTCGAAAATGTGACCCGATAAATAGACCGTGACATATAATTTTTTTAATTTGTGACCAATTAAATAAACTGTTAGCTATAAAATTTTTGATTTGTGATTTCGAAATAATTTGTGACCAATTAATTTGACAATTTTTGACTAATAAATAAGTTGTGACTTGTAATTATGTACATGTGACCAATAATTGTATAACTATAACCTTATTTTGTTCAATTAATAAATATTTTTAATTAATTACCTCATACCTGATTTTTGAATTTTCAAAGTATGCACCTAATTTGTGATTTGGTATTAACTAAATTACTGAGTTATAATTTTTTCCCTTGCTAGAGTATGGATATGATGATAAAGACGAAGATGGCTGTAAACAAGATGTTGGTGGTGATAATCCACCGATGATAGCGATGATGGCAGTGGAGCATTTGGTAGTGGCATGTAGAGAGAAGGACGTGAAAAAGAAGTATAGAGGTGGTCACAAATCATTTGGGATTGGTATTGGTGTTGGTATGGTAGCGGGACAATGGTGATGGCGTTATGGTGGGGACGGTGGCAATGGAGTGACATAAAGAGTGGTGATGTGATAGTCGTGGTCACAAATTATTTGGTTAATTGTGACCAATAAATAATATATAACCAATGAATATATAATTTGTGACTCAAATGTTTATTATGTTGTGACCAATAATTTGATAATTCGTGAACTAAAAATATTTCATGACCAATTAATTTGATATTTTCTGACTATGAAATAAGTTATGACTTAAATTTGTAATTTGTCACCATTGAATAATATGTGACCTATACTTTGATAAATTTGTAATCGAGAAATAAGTTGTGAACCATAAATTTTGTGATTTGTAATTGTGACTAATACATAACTGTAATCCTAAATTATATAATATTGTGACATTAATATATTTAATTAATAAAATATATATTTAATTAATTATTTCATAAATAAAATTCTATTCATATCTGATTTTTAAAGTTTTAAATTTTATTTCTTAGTTTTGAAATTACTTATAGTTAATTTTTTATCTTAAGAAATTCATAATTAAGCCCAGCCCACGTTGACCCAAAAAGTTCCGTAACTAATTCCTAAAATGACGCATGTGCATAAGCAACACCAGGTCTGAGCATTGGCGCTATAATTTCGGGCCTGTGAAGCCCATAAAGTCCAATTTTATGAGGATGACACAACCACTTCTTATAGTCGTTGGCTCCAATATCAGGGTTGTGGCTGTTCACATACATACATTACTCTCTCGCTCGCTCTCTCTCTCTCTAGGGTTCTAAGTGTTTCCTTTTCCCGCCAAAGAAAGACTAAACTACCAATGGATAGATACCAGAAGGTGGAGAAGCCGAAGCCAGAATCTCCGATAAACGAAAATGAGATTCGTATCACTTCTCAAGGTCTGGTTCGTAACTACATCAGCTATGCCACCGCACTTCTTCAGGTACCATTTTTTAATGATTTTCGTTAATTATTTATGTTTTTTGTGGTTGTATTGATTTGATTATTTACATTGCTGAATATGTGAGTTCTATAGGGTTTCGTTGAGTTTTAGTGTGATGATATTGTTCGTGTGTATTGGTTATTCAGATTTTTTTATTTTTTATTTTTTATTTTTGATATTTATTTTGCTTGCTGGAGGCCTTGGTTTCTTTTCTGTATTTGTTTTGGGTTAATTGTTAAATGGTTTTCCGCTTAACGTTTTTGATTTGCAACAAAACATACGGGCGCACACATGTGCTAGAAAAATTGCACAAACACTCATTAAATTCACAATATCTATTGTATTTAATGTTTTTATGTGACATTTATGTAATGCCTGCCTGTCATTAAATCATTGTAACCATAATTATTAAACTATTCATGAAGAATGTTCAGTACGGGAGTTTGATGAGTGATGGTATGTCATTCCTCATTATACTATTCATTTTTTCCTCTATGATGGCAGTTGTCGTACCTGAAGCCCAAACAGTCCTCGTTATGGATTTATGTAGTTTTGATTATATAGTTCCTTTTCTGCTTTTCTAAATAACTAATTAGTTTCTGTTCCCATTCTCCTCTTGTAGCTTCAACAAGGACTGCAATTCAGTTTTCATTCCTTTTATACTTTCCATAGCTTACAACTCTGCCCGAGATGCAATTGATAAATATTATATTCATTCATTGCATTTTGAGTAACTTACCTTTATTTAGATATGTAAGCAATTTTTTTCTGAGGCAGGGGGCAGAGTTGGGCTTTGTGTGGAGATTTTTGTTTGTCTTAATTGAATTTTTGGAGTACTGTGGCAATGGATTCATACCTTCATTAGAAAAAATACGTTTGATTGATGATAACTGTTCAGAATCGACTTTATGCATAATATATGCGATCAAATTAGGTGCATTCATATGTTTGGTGAGAGTCTTCTTTTTTGTGTTGACACTGTTGTGTTGTATTCTGGTGTGACAGCCCTGGAGTGCGTAGTCATGATCAAATTTGGACTGCGTTGCTTCCTACTAACTAATAACTATGCATTTCATCCTGACATAGATTAATACTGCCCACGAATTTACAGTCCACTATAGTTTTACTGGTAATTCATGTTAGAATCTTGCAATAATCGAGGACAATCAAAGATAAAAATAATACAATGTCATTGAAGGGTCATTTCAAACATAACCCTAAATAGCAACCATAGATCAAAATTTCTGAAACTTCTCACTGTTGATAGATACCCATTGGCTGAGTCTAAAATCAAGTATACGTTGATCCAAGTAGAAATTGAAGAAAGAGAGAAGATTTGCTATTAATTAGACTGTGTAGTTAATCTATCTATAATTGAGTTGTAGATTAAGACCAAGATATGATTAAAATGGAACTTCAGTCTTCTTTGCTATGCAAGGTTAATTCAATCTGACTGTTCTTAGATAAGCCATTGACTTAGTATATGCCAACTGAATTCAGTTTTGTGGAAGTGACCATCATTAATTGGATGTTATGGAGGATTGTACAGTTTTGTGGAAGTGACTATCATTTTAGAATCCATCGTTTGGTCGGGGTTGCTCTATGCATGACTTTTGATCCAAACAGGTACAGTTTGAAAATTATTTCGGTTTGATTTGCTGAAGGGCGATTATTATTCATTTTTCCTGTCTACAAACTTGTTATCTGTTTTTCTATGTCATTTAATTTCGCTGTATCTGGTGGTACGTTGCAAATTATTTGTTGTATATCTCTTTGTGTACAAGAATGTTCTTTGCTTCACAAACTTGATGGAAGTTGCTCGTTAAAGCTGAATTCTTGCTTCACAAGCTTACCCATATTACATTAGGAAATCTATACATTAAGTCATTAATGATCAATGTTATGGGAAGTACAAATTTCACTTGATTTTTGTGAAAGACTGATACTTTTTGTTTATGGGATAGCACCATAGTACTTGACCAGAGAGACTTGGAAGGAGAGTTTCTGTATAAAGCGTCGATCAAGTTACCTTATGCATTTAATTCACTTTTCTGTTATTTAGACTGCCAGAGATACATTATAATCAACATCTTGTGTCCAGGAGAGACGTGGAAATGATATTGTCTTGAAAGCAATGGGTCAAGCTATAAGCAAGACAGTGGCTATTGCAGAGATTATAAAGGTGGTGTTTTGAATTGGTATCTTTTTTTATCTCTTTTCTTTTTATTTAAGCTACCACATGGAAACCTCATTCTTTTGCTTTTCCAACAGAGAAGAATTCCTCGACTGCATCAAGACACTGCCATCAGTTCATTAAAAATAACCGATACATTTGAACCCATTGAAGAGGGCCTTGAGACGTAAGCTTCAATTTTTTTAAAATTTTACCCTTAACATTATGTGCGCACTCTCATGGATCCCTTGGTGTCCCATATGATCTTCTGTAATGAAATTCATCATTCCAATATTGTCTGATATTGATTTTAATTTCTAATACAGTGTGGAGCAAACTCGGCATGTTTCGATGATTTCAATCACCTTGTCGACTAAGGAGCTAAACAAGAATTCTCCAGGGTAGTTTTTATTTAATTGTTATTAGTTTATTTATGAAGGACAAATCCAAAAGTTGGAGAGGGAGGGAGGCAGGAAGGTTGATTAATGCCATAACCTTTCTTCCTGATGCAAAATGCCTGCCCAGATGACAAGTTTGAAAAAATAGCTGTTTAAACTGTATTTCTGATATTCAGCAGCTTCTCTTGTAGTAGCACTTTCAACAAATGTTGCCCTGTGCATTTTAACTTTCAGATTTTTATTTATTTTTTAGTTGGACCTTAAAACATTCTATGACAGATGTATGTTCTTTGACTTGAAGTAATATTCTTTGTGCATCTGTAGGTACCAAGCTCCAGCTCATATGGAACAAAGTAAACAACAATATAATTATAAGCCGCAGCCACAGCAACAGCAACCTCCTAGACAAGTACGCGCAGTGTTCAACAGTGGTAATGGAGGTAATGACAAGAAAATGCACCTGTACTCATTATCATAGTCGGTAACTTAGTGACTGTTTACTTCATCTTTAGATGCGTATGGACGTGGAAGAGCTCGTAACAGAGGAAGAGGGGGAGGGGGAGGGAGGGGAGGAGGTTGGAACAGAGGTGGATATGCAAACTATCAAGGTACTATATAGTCATATGATCCCATCGATTAATCAATTATGTATTTATTGCTTCTAGTACTTGTCTAAGCAGAGTCCATAAGTACACTGGTTGTTTTGGCACAGACCACTCCAGTAATGAATCCATTGACATAATGAATGCCCCACGGTGGCTATGGACGACTCCTTTCGGCGAAGAGGTGGTTCCGGAGGTGTAATTCAGCGTTAAAGGATCGAATTCACTTTCAGGGCGTACCCAATTGAAATTCGAATCACCATCACGGACCATGCCCTCGTAAGTCATATTGAATGATGGGGATTCAAATTCATCATCGGTTATAAAAACAAGAAGAGGGCGTTGAGAATTCGGTGGGAATAAAGACAAGGCCTCAACAACCAAAGATTCTGATTGACAATCAACGAAAACAAGCTTTGATTCGGCATGGTGGAGGAGGATGGAGATGGTGCGCGCATCGAGGCGGAGGTTGATGGTATTAAGAACGGCGCTGGCCATAGGTATAGCAAAATGAAGCTCGTACATGGCTGGGACATTCGGCGCCACCACAGAAACCACCTGGCCTCTCTTGATACCCAACGATACAATCGAAGATGCCACTTTCAAGCACCTGAGATAGGTTTCCGACCAAGAATAGGTGGCGGAGTTATAAACAATTGACGGGCAATCTGCATAAACAGTGGCCGCTCTCTCCAGGAATCCGATGGGCGTGAGGGGGCTTGAATTGGGAGAGCTTGGTTTCAGTTCTTCCATAATCGGCTATGGCGTCTGTGTAAACTGCGAAGTGGAGTGGCAAGCAATCATTAAAAATAATATGAATTTAATGTGATAAGGTTCGTGGGAATTAATAAAGTACACGATTTGTGGTACAACGTGATGATGCTATCATAATCAATTTTGTCAAAGCATATTGGATTAAGTTATTTGTAAATGTCTGTATCGTTAAATTATTATTTTTTTGTCTTCTCTCTGAACAAAATCCTTTCTAATTTCCCTGTAACATTTCTCAAGCATATTTTTCATTTTCAACCCTCTATTGTCGTGTCGAACTTTTTTCTTTTTCTTTTTAGTTTTATTTATTTAGAATAAGCTCCTGTAAAACATGTTTTCATACTTTTAATCAAATTTAAGTTGTAAAACCTACTTGAAATCTCAAAGCGAGGTTGAATTACTTGCCTCCAACACCGCCTTGTACCCATTTCTTGGTCAAAACTCGATCACCAAGGAAGAAGTTTGTTGTTTACCAAGAACCCAATTTGAGATGTAATTTTTCCAAAAATCGAGCCTCCACCACATCCAATTTTTACACCTTGAAAGAACCCGAATTTTGAATTTCTTGTAGTTGGTTGTTTGTGGAGTGAGTGTATATGGTAAGTTATGGATTAAGAGAAGTTAATTTTCAAATTTGAGTTTCAACTTCTCCCTCCAATAATCATTTCCATGTAAATCAGGTCGGGTCGGGTCAACCCACATGAGCGACCCATTTTCTTTCAATATCTCTCAAGGCTTGACCTGATTCTAGTATAATATCAATTATATTAATCTCAAAATCTCCAAGTTCATACAAATAAATGGATCGTGTGACAAGCGAGTTAATTTAAGAGCACACAACACTATATACCTCTTAGGAATATATGGTAGCTCTGAAAGATGAATTATATTTCTCGCTATACCACAGACATATTTTGTAACATCAGTTCAAGTATTTTTGACCCCTCAATTTATTTTAAAACATACTCAACTTTCTTATTTATATTGTATTCACAATTGTGTCACAAAACTCAAATAATCAATACAATTGTCCAACCAATGAATACAAGCTTAGGTGTTAGTTAAACAGTCTTTCTTTCCTACTTGAATCCCTTCATTTCAAGTCAGCTACTTTTCTAGACATGTCCCATCAAACTGAATCAACCATAGTTATTGACAACATACTAAAGTAGTAACACTGAAATAAATTTTGAGAAACAGTCAAAAGTCATAAGGGTATATATAAGTGAGGTCAAATGTGCCTCAGAGACTCATACAATGAAGAAGCAGGGATCAATTCTTTCATTTCTCATTGGTCGTTAAAGCACGCGTGGTATGAAACACGTGTTACGATATTTTCTCCCTTTTTAGGATGTATGTCAAATCTTGCAAATTAAATATATTGTATAGATCATAGTTTAGATATTTCTCGATATCTAACCCGAATTCTCCTCATATTTATTCCTCTAGGTAATCTCAAATCGAGAACTCGGTCTGGCTGTGAAAACAGGTGTAATGGATAGCAAAAAAATAAAGTCATACAGATTACTTGTTGTAATCTCATCTTGATATCTCATCAAGGCGACTGGATCATGTACACAATATGATCATTATGTCTCACCTCAACACACCTCTAAGTGTCTGAGGTGATTGTTCGTGTGAGCGAACCAATCTCAATATGTTTGACATACTTTATGTGTGCATATGTAATGGTAATCTAAAAATCACAATAAAAGATTACTTTTAACATGTGAACTCAAAAATATTGCTCATTAATGGATATATATGAAAAAGGTTTACATAGTATACAATTCAAATTCTATGCAATCCCAGAGATTTAACATGTGTCATAAAAATATCTCTAGGGATAAGTTTTGTAAGTGGATCAGCTACCATTTGGTGAGTTGAAATATACTGCAAACTTACTTCCTTCTTGCTTATGATGTCTCTTACAAAATTATATTTTGTATCAATGTGTTTGGTTCTACCGTGATACTTGGGATTCTTAGTATATGTAATAGTAGCATGACTATCATAGTTAATCAATATAGGTCCTACATCACCACTAACGACTCTTAAATGTTGTAAGAATCTCCTTAACCAAATAACTACTTGTACCGCTGAAGCACTTGCTACTAATTCTGCTTTCATTGTGGACAAGGAAATACATGTCTGTTTCTTGCTACCCCAAGAGATAGCGTCATTATTAAGCAATAATACATATCTCGAAGTTGATTTGCCCTCATCTAGGTCTCCACTCCAATCAGCATCTGTGTGTCCTTTTAAGTACAAATAATTTTCTTAATAGCACAGGGAGTAATTAGTATTACTCTTCAGGTATCTCAATATCCTTTTAACAGCTTTCCAATGCTCTCTTCCTGGATCGAATTGATACATGCTAACTAGACCTACGGCATAACAAATGTCTAGGCGAGTACACATCATAGCATACATCAAGCTCCCAACCGTACTGGAATATGGAACTATGGACATTTCTTCTTTTTCCTCGAGAGTTTTAGGACAAATGTGAAGACTTAGAATTTCACCTTTTAATACAGGAGTATCAATGAGATTGCAATTTTCTATTTTGAAACATTCAATAATTTCTTTATATATGGCTCTTGTGACAGAGCAAGATATCTCTTTGAACGATCTCTATGGATTTTAATACCTAATATATAATCTGCTTCACCCATGTCCTTCATTTCAAAATTTGAGGACAACCATTTCTTAATAGTTTTAATATACTCTTATCATTCCCAGCTAATAAGATATCATCTACGTAAAGAGATAAAATTACAAATTTCTCGTTGGACCTTTTCAAATAAATACAGTGATCTTCATCCACCATGACAAAGTTGTACGAGATAACCGCTCTGTTAAATCTCAAGTACCACTATCTAGAAGACTGCTTTAGGCCATAGATTGATCTATTCAACTTACAAACTTTATTCTCGTGACCTATTTTAATGAAACCTACTGGTTATTGCATGTAAATTTCTTCATCCAATTCTTCATTGAGAAATGCAGTTTTCACGTCCATTTGATATAATTCTAAATCTAAACGTACCACGATAGCTAAGAGTAGGCGAATTGAAGTAAATCTAACTACTGGCAAAAAGGTCTCTTCATAATCTATACCCTCATGTTGAGTATAACATTTTGCCACCAAGCAAGCCTTATACCTTTCTATAATCCCATCAGCTCTTCGCTTTATTGTGAGGACCCATTTGTTCCCAATGACTTTTCGACCAGATGGAAGGTCAACTAAGTCCCAGACTTGATGTGATTTCATAGACTCCATCTCTTCTTACATTGCATTCTTCCATTTTTCCTTTGTAAGACATGATAGAATTTCGTGTACCGAACTTGTTTCTTCACCATCTTCAGGAGCTACTGGGAAAACTTGCCCTTTAATCTCGAAATGACGTTTAGGCATACTTTTTCTAGTACTCTTACGAAGTGAAAGCTCCGATGTGACCGTGTCACTTAGAGTTGGAGATAAATTACTCCCACTTGGATTGACGGGTGGAAGTGTTTCCTCCTGCACCTCAGTTGATCCATCAAGTACAACTCTATCATCTAATTCATATAAAGGTTTTCCCTTTTTAATTTCTCTCTTACTAGGAAAATCACTCTCAAGAAATGTCACATCACGTGACTCTATCTTAGTTATAGTCTCATCTTAATTTTCACTTATGAACACATATCCTTTAGACTGGTCTGGGTATCTTATAAAGATACACTTTTTGCCTAGAGCACCCAATTTTTCAAACTTACTTGAGGAATCATGGATATAGGTAGTTGATCCCCAAGATCTAAGAGAACTTAGATTAGGAGATCTACCTGTCCAAAGCTGATATGGTATAGTAGGTACTGATTTAGAAGGAACTCTATTCAGAATGTAGGTCGTAGTTAACAAAGCGTCTCCCCAATAGGAAATAGGTAAGTTAGCCTGCGCCATCATGGACTCCACCATTTCTAGCAACGTTCTATTCCTCCTCTCAGCAACATCATTTTGTTGAGGTGTATTGGGAATAGTTAACTGCCTAATGATTCCCTTACTGTCACATATTTTTCTGAACTCTTCGGATAGATATTCAAGCCCTTGTCAGTTCTCAATGCTTTTACCTTTTATTTATTTGATTTTCTACCACATTTAAATATTGTCTAAAGCATTCCAATGCCTTCGACTTATGAGAAATCAAATAGACATAACTATACCGCGTGAAATCGTCTATAAATGTAATGAAATAAGAGGCTCCATGTTTCGCTTGATTCATCAGACCACAATTATCTGAATGGACTAACTGCAATGGAAGTTTGGCTCTTAGAGATTTACCGAATGATTTTCGTGTTGTTTTTCCGATTAGACAATGTTCACAATTAGGTAATGAAATCTTAGAGATTGAACCTAGCAAACCTCTTTAGCCAACCTATTCATTCTCTCTTGGACAATATGTCCTAATCTAGCATGCCATACACATATATCAACATTCAAATCTTTAGAAGAAGAAGAAGATACATTTATAGAAAAACAACGATCAACATAACAATTATAAGTGTTTGGGTCACAATCCAACACTACAAAGCCACATTCTACATGTTCAGATCCATAAAATACATTACGATTGTTTATACGAACAGAATTACTACAAAAGTTCAAACTGAAATCTAATCTTAAAAGAACAACAATGGAAATTAAGTTCCTTCGTATCCGCGATGCAAATAGGACATCATGAAGGAGAATAGTACGGCCACCATGCAAATGTAACTTGCATGTACCGATCCCTTTTACCTCCACTCTATCATCGTTGTCGACATATATCCACTTTGTACGAGCTGAAAATCGACGAAACTCCACAAACGCTTCTCGATCCCTGATTACATGGTCTGTCGCTCCTGAGTCTACAATCCACATAGGATAAGATTCAGTTAGCATAACAGTACTTGAAACATAAACAACACTAAAAGAAATATTTATTAGAGCTACCTTCTTTGGCTCAGGGCATTCTCGAGCAAAGTGACCCAGCACCTGACAGTTGAAGCATTTCAGCTTGCTCTTATATTTCTTCTTTTCAAACCATTTACCCTTCGTATTACGCTTGTGTTTGTTATTTTTA